GCTGCTGTGGAACTACAAGTCCCATGCAAGACTCTGACAGCCACAGGCATGACTTCCAGAGGCACGATGGGGTTTGTAGTTAAAACACAGCTGGAGGATCGGAGTTGCCCTCCCCTGGGGTAACCCAATGCTGGATCCCAGGAACTGCAAGTACGACAAAATGTTTATTTTATGCACTATTACAGGAGTAGGCAACCTCGGCATTCCATCTGTTGTAGAACTACAAGTCCCATGAGGCATTGCAAGACCATGACAGCCACAGGCATGCGAGGCCCAGTGGCATGATGGGATTTATAGTTTCATCACAGCTGGAGTGCTGAGGTTGCCTAACCCTGGTCTATTACGGCATTGAATAGGGGACCCCTCTCGCCTCCGGAATCATATGTGACAATGATGTATATAAAATAACTTTTTATCCTTTGCTATTTTTCTAGCTCTGATGAAGGGGGCGGAGTTAGAGGCCCCCGAAGCGCGTTGGCGTCATTGGAATACACTTGTATTTAGAATTGAATCTGCAGGGCGTGGAGGTTTAGTTCTAGCTTTACTTATCCACAGCAATACCAACCTGGCAGTAGGTCTGACTTTCGCACCCCACCCCCCCATACCCTCACCCCCTCTTTACATGGTGGGGTTCCTTTAAGTAGCAGTGATGGGTCCAGCACACGCAGAGTTAAGCTGGTTGTTATTCCGGCACGTGTGATGAATGAGGGAAATCTCCTTCACGTGCAGAGCCACGCGCTGAGACGGTGACAACGTTGTGTGAATGTCAGGGGTCCCCCCGCAGAGCATCGCACACCTCCATCCATCATCACACCGGAGTGCAGGGTGTGAGCCTGGGATTGTCAGCAGGGAATGGGCAGCTCAGGAGGACGGGGGAGGGGAGGAGGTGCTGGGTGTCACCCGGGTGTCACTGGATTCATTCCTCATATAAAGACACCCAAAGATTCCGATCCAAATCCTACCCAGACAAGCGACTTGCTGAGAACGGAGGACGAGGATCACTCACCGGCCAGGTAATGTCATCATCCTCATCATCCTCAGCCAGGAAACCGAGGAGCTGACACTCTAATCTCACCACTTCACTATCATTATACATGTATATAGCTCTGACATATACCGCAGTGCTGTACAGAGGACACTGAGCCAGTCACATCAGTCTCTGTACAGAGGAGCTTACACTCTAATGTCCCCCACCCCCACAGTCACATCAGTCTCTGTACAGAGGAGCTTACACTCTAATGCCCCCTCCCCCACAGTCACATCAGTCTCTGTACAGAGGAGCTTACACTCTAATGCCCCCCCCTGTCATATAGAGCTGACATATACCGCGGCGCTGTGTCGTCCTGGCGCTGTCTCCTCTTCCTCTGCACGCTTTCTATGTTGGGGTTGGTCATGTGATCAGCGCGGAGTCCTCCATTGGATGGGACGACGTGCAGTGCTACAAATGCTCCTTTTTCCAAACTCTCTTGTGTGATGTTCTGGGTGCGCCGGGTCCTGGGGGCCATGCTGGGACTTGTGGTTCCCCTGCAGGGATGAGCGGTGCTGCCTGTTTATAGAACTGGGTATGAATGATAATTGAGGATAATTATTACACTTCTGTCTCCCGGCAATGAAGTCAGAGCGGTGAATCCCGAACCATCTCCTGTTGTAGGCCAGCTACGCCCTGTATGTATCATGATAGAATCTGTGAGCCCCGTGCTGCATTGGCTGGAACATACCGGATAAATCAGGTCACGCTGCAGCTCAGGACAGCTCTGACAGTCTATTGTAACTTGTCTGGGAGCTCTGACAGTCTATTGTAACTTGTCTGGGAGCTCGGACAGTCTATTGTAACTTGCAGGGGTCTCTAATGGTGGTAGTTTCTCTTGGCATCCTGTAACTGTTGGTTATTAACATGGCAGTCTCTTGTAGATGGCAGTCTCTTCTAGGGTGGCAGTGTCTCATAGGGTGGCAGTCTCCTGTAGAGTGGCAGTCTCTTGTACGATTGCAGTCTCTTGTACGATGACAGTCTCTTGTAGAATGGCAGTCTATTGTAAATGGCAGTCTCTTGTAGGATGGCAGTCTCCTATAGGGTTGCAGTCTCTTGTAGGGTGGCAGTCTATTGTAGGATGGTAGTTTCTTGTAGGGTGGTAGTTTCTTGTAGGGTGGCAGTCTCTTGTAGGGTGGTAGTTTCTTGTAGGGTGGCAGTCTCTTGTACGATGGCAGTCTATTGTAGATGGCAGTCTCTTGTAGGGTGTCAGTCTCCTGTAGGGTGGCAGTCTCTTGTAGGGTGTCAGTCTCCTGTAGGGTGGCAGTCTCTTGTAGGTTGACAGTCTCTTGTAGGATGGCAGTCTCTATAACATGGCAGTCTCTATAACATAGCAGTCTCTTGTAGGATGGCAGTCTCTTGTGTTGGTTCTGTGTTTAGATGGAGCACTGAGATCGTGAGGAATGCTGAATAAAGTTTTACTTGCTTAGGAGAACATTACATGAGAATACAGCAATATACAGCGAGAGAGAACTTCCTGTGTATCATAGATAAGCATGTATATATAGACTAACATTGCACTACAGCGCCCTCTACAGCTCAAAACACATCATTACAGTATATGCTGTTGCATTTCCAACATCTTGTAGGGTGGCAGTCTCCTGTAGGATGGCAGTCTCTCACAGGATGGCAGTCTCTTGTAGGGTGGCAGTCTCTCACAGGATGGCAGTCTCTTGTAGGGTTGCAGTCTCTTATAGGGTGGCAATCTCTTGTAGGGTGGCAGTCTCTTGTAGGGTGGCAGTCTCTTGTAGGGTGGCAGTCTCTTGTAGGGTGGCAATCTCTTGTAGGGTGGCAGTGGCATTTTACTGCAATGCAAGTACAGAGCTGCGGTATATGTCAGAGCTATATACATGTATAATAATAGTGTGTGACTGTGGGGGGACATTAGAGTGTAAGCTCCTCTGTACAGAGACTGATGTGACTGGCTCAGTGTGCTCTGTACAGCACTGTGGTATATGTTAAAGCTAGGAATGCACCGATCAGTATCGCTGCTGATACCAAGTATTTGGGGCGGGTACTCATACTCGCCCAAATGCTCCAGTATCAGGAAGTCGGGCGAACCTCCCTTTCCCCTCATGCAAATTATGTAGAAGTCTTCGTGGAAACCTGAGGGTGCCTCCCTGGTAATGAGAGAGTATGGGGCATGTAATGACTCGCCACCTGGCTTCCTGATTAGCCGGGAAGCCGGGCAGCGTGTAAAGAGTCGCCACCCGGCTTCCCGATTTACAAGAAAGTCCCCTCTTACCTTAGTATGTGCAGCCTGTCACCCCCGGGGCCTCTCCAGCGAGAACGCGGCCTTCCTCCGGTACCCAGCCGGAGCCGTCTGGCCGGCCAATCAGGAAGCCGAGCACCATGTAATGACGCAACGCCCTGCTTTCTGATTAGCCGGGAGGCCGGCTCCATGCTCTCTTGTCATGAGATGACGAGGGAGCATGAAGCCAGCTTCCTGATTGGACGGCTCCGGCTGGGTACCGGACGAAGGCCGCATTCTCGCTGAGGCCCCCGGGGGTGACAGGCTGCACATACTAAGGTAAGGTAACCTTACCTCACGAGGCCAGCTTCCTGATTGGCCAGGAAGTCGGCTCCATGCTCTCTCATCACAAGTGACGAGAGAGCATGGAGCCGCATTACACGCTGCCCGGCTTCCTGATTGGCCGGGAAGTCGGCTCCATGCTCTCTCATCACAAGTGACGAGAGAGCATGGAGCCGCTTCCCGGTCAATCGCGATACCGGAAGTACTCGTGCTAGGCATCGGAGCATTTGGGCGAGTACGAGTACTTGCCCAAATACTGGGAATTGGCACCGATATCGATACTAGTATCGGTATCGGTGCATCCCTAGTAAGCTCCTCTGTACAGGGACTGATGTGACTGGCTCAGTGTTCTCTAATGTGACTGGCTCAGTGTTCTCTGTACAGCACTGCGGTATATGTCAGAGCTATATACATGTATAATAATAGTGTGTGGCTGTGGGGGGACATTAGAGTGTAAGCTCTTCTGGTGCAGAGACTGATGTGAATGGCTCAGTATCCTCTCGGTATCTCTCAATATCCTTATATTGTACCATTTTTCTTTTGGTTTCCAGTCTAGACTCACCGCGCCACAGCCATGGCCAACCTCCTAACCGCCATCCGTCAGATCATCGACACCTACCACAGCTACAGCTGCAGGACCGACCCATGCGACAAGCTGAACACGGAGGAATTCAACGCCCTCATCCAGACGCAATTCGCCAATGTCATAGAGGTAGGAAATCGCCATCTGTTGGAGGACGATGCCTTTCTTACCTATTGGTTAAAAGGGGAACTCCAGGAATTGCAAAAACTAACCCTTGAAGTGGGACTACCCCTGAACTTCCAGGCTTAAGGGCTTGTTTTGGTCTAGGGGGGCGCAAATCAAGAAAATTTACTCACCCGGCCCTTGTCCCACCTAGACCGGTTCCCCGCAGCCTCTTCTCCCCCAGGCTTCGGAGGTCTAAGGACCCGTAATTAGACGCGAGGACACTGAGGGAGAGAGGTGAGCGATCACCAACGCAGGACTGAGGACCAGGTGAGTATATGTTCTTTATTCCGGCCCCTAGCACTGCAGGGGCGGACCCACTGCAAGGGTTCATTTTTTACAATTCCTTGAGTCCCTCTGTCATTGAAAGGAGAAGGTTGACCAACCGATGAAGAAATGTATATATAAATATAGGGTGTGGCGTTTCTATTTACCTGCAGGCCCTGATGGATGACACCTGAGGAATATTTTGGGATTTATTCTCTTTCTAACTCATAGGGTGTTTCCGTGACTGTGAAGGGCGTAACATTCATAGGGTGTAACTGTTCAACCTTGCTAAACAAAAGCTGCAATCTGCAAGTCCAGATAGCTGCGACGCCGATAGAAAGATCTGTATCGTTATGGGTTCAAAGCCCAGCAGACTGCTAGGACACCAGACATACAATCACAAACAACTGCGCTCCTTCCCAGGTGCAGGTCAACCTTGATTACAATTGAATGCAAAAATAAACTCACAATGGAGTCGAATGGGCTGGCAATCTTTGATTACGCTGCGGTTGTGAATACAAAAGGAGGAAGAATCCATGAGACACTCTGGGAACTCTGTTCGCCTCACAGAGTCCCACTTCCAATGCTAATGCGTTTCTGGGGACACGCCCCCTTCTTCAGAGCTAGGCAGCCCAGCTCTCCCTGAGCTACTATATAATCTATGGCCAATCACAGCAACAATGGGATCAAAAAGCAACCAATTGCCGCACAGCATTGTGTTCAGGGCCGGATTTACTCTTTCTGCTGCCCCAAGGCCAGGTTCCTCAAGGCCCCCCCTACCCGCCAAACCTCCCCCCATGGAGAATGGCAGACTTGTAGGCTGCATAGAAGTGATCTCGGTGACATCGCCGGGATCACTTGTACAAAACAAGCCACGGCCTCCCTGTTGTACATTTAGCTCTGCTTGCCCAAAGCAGGGCTAAATGTAGAAAACAACTACCCGCTCGGCGCCTGGAACTGCATGTTCCGGGCATCGGGAGATAGGAATTCCACACCCCTGATGCCCCTCTACTCCCTGCTGCCCCAAGGCCGGACTTTGGTTGGCCTTGTGAGAAATCCGGCCCTGATTGTGTTATCCTCAAGGCCCCCCCTACCCGCCAAACCTCCCCCCATGGAGAATGGCAGACTTGTAGGCTGCATAGAAGTGATCTCGGTGACATCGCCGGGATCACTTGTACAAAACAAGCCACGGCCTCCCTGTTGTACATTTAGCTCTGCTTGCCCAAAGCAGGGCTAAATGTAGAAAACAACTACCCGCTCGGCGCCTGGAACTGCATGTTCCGGGCATCGGGAGATAGGAATTCCACACCCCTGATGCCCCTCTACTCCCTGCTGCCCCAAGGCCGGACTTTGGTTGGCCTTGTGAGAAATCCGGCCCTGATTGTGTTACTATATCAGGTTGGTGATGGTAGGAGCCCAGACGCGGGGGACTTGCCAGTACGATTGGTACCTCTACTCAAGTAGACTAGGATAACGCACAATCTCCTGCGTGGTGGTAGCCAGTACAGGGGCAGTCCAAGAGCACGGTAGCAAAATCACAATCCGGAATCGCAGTCGTTGAACGTAGCAGAGGTCGGGGGATGGCAGCAAAATATCAGGGTCATGGAACAGGCCAGGGGTTGGTAATAAGGAACAGGTATAACGCCAGGCACTCTAAGAACAAGCTTAACAATAGCCAAGCACAGAATGACTCACCCTTCCTGCTTATATACCTGTTGGCAATGAGATGATGTCATTTCCTGGGTCGGACCACTTCCTGGGAGGGGAGTGCACTGTCCCTTTAAGAGACGGTCCAGTGCTCGTGCGTGCCTCTTCCTGTACAGCTCTGGACGATGGAACAAGCGGACACCACACACAGCAGCCGTTGGGCTCGCCGATGCACAAGGAGACCACCCGACGGCACGAGACCCTGCGGGAGGTAACAGGTAAGTCCTGACATACTAGGGGAACAAGTCAAATTGGCCAATCAAAAGGTGGTAGATGTCACTTGATACCATCTAGTCGGGTGGTCTAATGTACTATGTAGTGGTTTAATGGTGTCAGCACCTAGGATGTTTTTAGAGGGAGAACCACAACTGTGGAACTGGCAAGAATGAGTCAACCGCTCTGGGGGTAAGTGGGCAATCAGTCGGGCACTCCTGGCGTCACTCTCAATCTAGGGCGGAGAGTTAGGAGTGGTTGACATCATGGGCCCGTATTATCTAGATGGTTAGTTAGCTACAGTTAGTGAGTAATGTTGGGGTATTACTTCATACCCTCCTGAGTACTTGAGTTAAGGGTATATACAGCACAATGTTCTAAGGGTACGCACGGCAGAGACCAGTTGCCCAATCACGCTACAGTCCTTAGTATGAATAACGCAAGTGTTAGGTAACAGTTATAGACAGTTCTTAGTGCAGTACATGTATCACTTAGCTAGAGCATATCTCCATGGCACAGCAAGAACATGCAGGATTGCATAACATGGTAGGGTACTTGCGGTTCCCAGAGGGGACAGCAGCTGTCGGTCACTGGTTTGTGGGGGAGTCCTTCCGGAGGTAGTTAGTCCAGGCAGGGTTTGATGAAGGTGGGAGGCTTCAGGCCTCTGCAGGGTTGCCGGCGTTCGGTGGTAGCAGGTGTGAGATCCAAAATAAGAGAACACCTTACCTTACCCCTGAACCGGCTTGCAGGCCACACGCCTTTATGACGCCACTGGCGACAATTGGTTGCTTTTTGATCCCATTGTTGCTGTGATTGGTTATTGATTATATAGTAGCCCATGGGGAGCTGGGCTGCCTAGCTCTGAAGGGGGAGTGTCCCACGCTTAAATGCGTTAGCAGTGGTAGTGGGACTCCCTGAGGAGACTCCCTGAGGAGAACAGAGTTCCTGCAGTGTCCCCTGGATTCCTCCTTCTTTTGTATTTGCAGCAGCAGCGTAATCAAGGATTGCCGGTCCATACGATGCGTATGTCTACTGCTTCCATTGTGAGTAAATTTTTGTATTTAGTTGTAATCAATAAAAATGTTTACCTGCACCAGGGAAGGTGCCCGGGTGATTTTTGTTTCTATGCAGCTTTTTTGGTTTCCCTGACTGAAACGGGGCAGCCTCCACTGAAGTGTTCAGGCTTAAGGATGGTCTTTCTGGCCCTGGTCGGTGTGTTGCATTGCTGGATTTGACAAAACATACAATGCCCGTCCATACAAATAAATTCACACACTCTTAGCTTTGATTACGGCACACATTCGCCGTGGCAACGTTTCGATAAGCTTATACAATGTCACAATATGTATTTCCATCCAGAGCTGTATTCATTTTTCACCAGTAGTGATGATGGGAGAGTACGACCGTTGCGTAAAGTCTTCTCCAACACATCCCAAAGATTCTCAATGGGATTAAGGTCTGGACTCTGCGGTGGCCAATCCATGTGTGACAATGATGTCTCATGCTCCCTGAACCACTCTTTCACAATCTGAGTCTGATGAATCCTGGCACTGTCATTTTGGAATATGACCGTGCCATCAGGGAAGAAAAAAATCCATTGATGGAAAAAAATGGTCATTCAGTATATTCAGGTCGGCAGCTGACCTCATTTTTGGGCACATTTCGTTGCTGAACCTAGACCTATGATCCAATAGAATGCTCTGATCTATTTGCTTAGCTAAATCCAGGCGGTGACTTTTTTTTTTTGCTAGACAGTATATACTATAATACCAAAAGTATTGGGACGCCGGCCTTTGCACGCACATGAACTTGAATGGCATCTCAGTCTTAGTCCGTAGGGTTCAATATTGAGTTGGCCCACCCTTTGCCGCAATAACAGCTTCAATTCTTCTAGGAAGGCGTCCACAAGGTTTAGGATTGTGTCTATGGGAATGTTTGACCATTTGTGAGGTCAGGTACTGATGTTGGGCGAGAAGGCCGGGCTCGCAGTCTCCGCTCTAATTCATCCCGAAGGTGTTCTATCGGGTTGAGGTCAGGAATCTGTGCAGGCCAGTTAAGTTCCTCCACCCCAAACTCGCTCATCCATGTCTTTATGGACCTTGCTTTGTGCACTGGTGCGCAGTCATGTTGGAACAGGAAGGGACCATCCTCAAACTGTTCCCACAAAGTTGGGAGCATGAAAATGTCCAAAATGTCTTGGTATGCTGATGCCTTAAGAGTTCCCTTCACTGGAACTAAGGGGCCAAGCCCAACCCCTGAAAAACAGCCCCACACCATACTCCCCCCCTCCACCAAACTTTACACTTGGCAAAATGCAGTCAGGCAAGTACCGTTCTCCTGGCAACCGGCAAACCCACACACGTCCATGGGATTGCCAGACAGAGAAGCATGATTGGTCACGCCAGAGAACACGTCTCCACTTCTCTAGAGTCCAGTGGCAGCTTGCTTTACACCACGGCATCCCACGCTTTGCATTGCACTTGGTGATGTAAGGCTTGGATGCAGCTGCTCGGCCATGGAAACCCATTCCATGAAGCTCTCTACGCACTGTTGTTGTGCCAATCTGAAGGCCACATGAAGTTTGGAGGTCTGTAGCTATTGGCTCTGCAGAGAGTTGCCGACTTCTGCGCACTGTGCGCTTCCGCATGCGCTGACCCCGCTCTGTCATTTTACATTGCCTACCACTTTGTGGCTGAATTGCTGTTGTTCCCAGTTGCTTCCACTTTGTTATAATAACACTAACAGTTGACCGTGGAATATTTAGTAGCAAGGAAATGTCACGGAACACCTGAATCCAATGATTTGGAGGGGTGTCCCAATACTTGTGGTAATATAGTGTATCATTGTCAGAAGCACCAGGGAGCTAGTAGCGAGATGAGGAACCCACTGGCAGTAAGCAGCATACAGTCCAGAAACGAGATACAAGTTTAGGGATAATCCAAGAGGGGTAGTCAATGTCCAATCCGGGTCGAGGCAGGCAGTGAAGTTTCTAAGGCGAAAGACAGTCCAAGGGTCGGCAATCGGGAAGGATACGAAGGGGCAACAGGTAACAAGAGGATCAGCAGGGAGGCTAGGTGTTCACCATAAGGTGGAATAACTCAACAATAAGCCAGAGCTCAGGCCAGGTTTTTATAGCCAGGGGAGGTAGGAAAACCCCAGGTCACCGAGGCAACCAGGAGGCTTCCCTCCCCGGGAACCAATGGCAGGCGAGGAAGATGGAAGGTGTGTACTGGGAACCTCCCCCAGCAAGGCTCACACCTGATAGCCCGATGACACAGGAGCGCATGCGCACCCGCACCCCGGGCACCAGGTGTTCTACCGAGCTGAAGGGGAACCCGTGCCCTGCGCCGCGCCTGTGGTCCCCGAGCAGAGGTAACACCCCCTGCTTCCTGACAATCATTCAATGGAAGGCTCTGACCTATTTGCTATGCTAAATCCAGGTGGTGACTTTTTTTTTTCGGCCAGACAGTATATATAAAAATGTGAAAATCAGCAACAATTCTCAATTCCTCAAAGTTGCAAATGTAATGCTGATATCAGATTTCTATGTGGATAATTGTATTGTGTTGGTAGCTATTCTAGTCTGAATAAGGTTTTTGGTAGTATTCTGGGCTTGTAAGAAATACATTTCATGTAGAGTTTTACCGTTTGTGGTTTTGATAAAGCAGACTCTTATGGGTTTGAGTCCTGATCTGTCATTTTTATCCCTTCTTTTAGGATTCCAATGAACCTCAGACCATCGAAGGGATCCTCCAAGCCTTAGACGAGAACAAAGATGGGGAAGTAGACTTTAAAGAGTTCCTGGAACTAGTGGCTAGAGTTGCATTGGCATATTTTGAAGCCCTGAGAAACAAGAAGGGCTGTCGCATTTGTGCGTCCCAGAAAGGACAACAGGCGTCGGCTGCTGTAGCTTCAAAGTCAACACAAAGCCAAGGGGAATCAGATCCTGGCCAGAAAAAAGACTCCACCCAGAAACAATACCAGGCCAAGAAACAAGAATCTGCTCAGAAACAGGATTCAACCCAGAAACAAGACTACACCCAGAAGCAATACTCTAGTATGAAGCAGGATCCAGCCCAGAAACAAGACTCCTCCCAGAAGCAAGATCTAACCCAGAAACAAGACTCCCCTCAGAAACAAGACCAGACCAAGAAACAAGACCTGGCCCAGAAACAAGACTCCACTCAGAAACAAGACCAGACCCAGAAACAAGACCAGACCCAGAAACAAGACTCTACACAGAAACAAGACCAGACCAAGAAACAAGACCTGGCCCAGAAACAAGACTCCTCACAGAAACAAGACCACACCCAGAAACAAGACTCCACTCAGAAACAAGATGAGACCAAGAAACAAGAGTCAACTAAGAGTCAGGATCCAGCACAGAAACAAGATCAAACTCAGAAAAAAGACCCTACTCAGAAACAAGACTACACCCACAACAAAGACTACTCACAGAAACAAGACCAGACCCAGAAACCAGATTTCACACAGAAACAAGACCAGACCCAGAAACAAGATTCCACACAGAAACAAGGCCAGACACAACAACAAGACTCCACTCAGAAACAAGATGAGACCAAGAAACAAGAGTCAACTAAGAGTCAGGATCCAGCCCAGAAACAAGATCAAACCCAGAAAAAAGACCCTTCTCAGAAACAAGACTCCACCCAGAACAAATATTCCACACAGAAACAAGACCACACCCAGAAACAAGATTCCACACAGAAACAAGACCAGACCCAAAAGCAAGACAAGGTTCAGAAACAGGACTCTACTCAGAAACAAGATGTAGCTAAGAAACAAGACTCCACTCAGAAACAAGATGAGACCAAGAAACAAGAGTCAACTAAGAGTCAGGATCCAGCCCAGAAACAAGATCAAACCCAGAAAAAAGACTCTTCTCAGAAACAAGACTCCACCCAGAACAAAGATTACTCAAAGAAACAAGACCAGACCCAGAAACAAGATTCCACACAGAAAAAAGACCAGACCCAGAAACAATATTCCACACAGAAACAAGACCAGACCCAGAAACAATATTCCACACAGAAACAAGACCAGACCCAGAAACAATATTCCACACAGAAACAAGACCAGACCCAGAAACAATATTCCACACAGAAACAAGACCAGACACAGAAACAAGATTCCCCCCAAAAACAAGACCCAGCCCAGAAACAAGATCAGACCCAGAAACAAGATTCCACCCAGAAACAAGATCAGACCCAAAAGCAAGACCAGGTCCAGAAACAGGACTCTACTCAGAAACAAGATGTAGCCAAGAAACAAGACTTTACTCAGAAACCAGAGGAGACCCAGAAACAAGAGTCAACTAAGAGTCAGGATCCAGCCCAGAAACAAGATCAAGCCCAGAAAAAGGACCCTACTCAGAAACAAGACTACACCCTGAGCAAAGACTCCTCACAGAAACAAGACCAGACCCAGAAACAAGACTCCACTCAGAAACAAGACCAGACCCAGAAACAAGATTCCACAAAGAAACAAGAGCAGACCCAGAAACAAGATGCCACACAGAAACAAGATGAGACCAAGAAACAAGAGTCAACTAAGAGTCAGGATCCAGCCCAGAAACAAGATCAAACCCAGAAAAAAGACGCTTCTCAGAAACAAGACTCCAGCCAGAACAAGGACTACTCACAGAAACAAGACCAGACCCAGAAACAAGATTTCACACAGAAACAAGACCAGACCCAGAAACAAGACTCCACTCAGAAACAAGATGAGACCAAGAAACAAGAGTCAACAAAGAGTCAGGATCCAGCCCAAAAACAAGATCAAACCCAGAAAAAGGACCCTACTCAGAAACAAGACTACACCCAGAGCAAAGACTCCTCACAGAAACAAGACCAGAATCAGAAACAATATTCAACACAGAAACAAGATGAGACCAAGAAACAAGAATCAACTAAGAGTCAGGATCCAGCCCAGAAACAAGATCAAACCCAGAAAAAAGACCCTACTCAGAAACAAGATCAAACCCAGAACAAAGACCCTACTCAGAAACAAGAGTACACCCAGAAACAAGACTCCTCACAGAAACAAGACCTGACCCAGAAACAAGATTCCACAAAGAAACAAGACCAGACCCAGAAACAAGATTCCACACAGAAACAAGACCAGACCCAGAAACAAGATTCCACCCAGAAACAAGATTCCACACAGAAACAAGACCAGACCCAGAAACAAGATTCCACCAAAAAACAAGACCCAACCCAGAAACAAGATTCCACCCAGAAACAAGATTCCACCCAGAAACAAGACCAGACCCAAAAGCAAGACCAGATCCAGAAAAAGGACTCTACTCAGAAACAAGATGTAGCCAAGAAACAAGACATTACTCAGAAACCAGAGGAGACCCAGAAACAAGAGTCAACT